GACAATACGACCCACCGGTGGGTCGTACGCTTTTTGAAGTGATTTTGCTAGTTTACGATGAAAAATCCATTGAGATTACATCAAACCTTCACTTTCTTCTTCAAACTCCAAATCTTCTTCCATAAAGCTGCGTCTGCAATCGGTTTATGCAGCGAGTTTCGCCAGCCATTACGGTGCCATATCGGAAGCCAGTTCTCTGCTGACAACACTAACCTGGCAGAATCAGTTCGAATTCTGAGATCGCGAATACCTTCCGAAGCAGCCTGAAAGATTTTTTGACAGTATACAGACTTTTCGAATTATATAATTTACCCTTTCAAGAACATCCAGGAGATAGTGGTAGACCCTCTTCTCCTCTTTTACAAAGCATTCTGTTGATTTACTATCTTCTTCCCAGACAACACCACTGTGGAAGTCTGTACCTCTCTTGAATATCCTCACTTTCACACTGAAAGGTGAAATTAAGTTTTGGCTGATACCAAGAAAGAATCTCATTACCGTGGGTCACGCAGAAACTTCTCATCAACTAGTATTTCGGATATGTTTCTATCATACTCCGATCGGTCTTTGCCAACAATTGGCAAATCAATCGATTCAAAACACTTATCGATTGCAGACAACCATTCGGAGCTGTCTTTTCTGGGAATCTCAAAGCGAAAGCGAACCTGAAAAAATCTGAATAAGCAGGAACCAAGTCGAGATTAGATAAAAACACTACTTCTGTTCCTTCTTGGACTAGATCTCGAATCCGGTCATATAGAAACTTATTGGAGCACGGTGTACCATTCGCTTTTGACCACCTAAATATAAATTTTGGTAAAGCTTGACAAGAAAAAAGAGACTGATTTACTTATTCTTCCAGTTGTGCATAAAAACTTGCGAGTCGGTAATTACGACCACACGCGGCAACGAATTCTCCACAGCCTAAAAGCATATTCATAAACTAAACTGCTGTAAGCCCATGTTCGCTTACCTCCTTCAGCGCAGCTTCGATAGCTGCTAATTGAGCACGAACCAAAGTAGCTGGCACCATCGCCAACCGCTCCATAATGTCAATACCAAATCGCTTCTCAGACCAGACTGCGGCGAAGGATGCTGCTGTGAACCCTGAAACAATTCAGAACATTACAAGGAAAAAGCAAACAATAAGATGTTGTCAGAGGATTAATCACTCTAGGGAATACTGGAATTGCTGAAGATAATAAATCTCAGTACAATGCGAAACTTTCTTTCACCTTTCCATAAGAAGCAAGACCATCTATAAGATGGTGGGTACAGCTGACGTAGTTTTCTGCCTTGTCGACAACACCTTTATCTTTCATCTTTTATCTTTTATTCATTCTCAAAGTTTTGCAACATTCAGTCAAAAATACCGTGATGATTGGTGACTAAAGCAGCTTCCAGCCAGCAGCGGGATCGCAAAAGTATGTTTTAGTCGTTTCCAATAACCATAGTTCCTTCTTTGTTCTTGCCATACTATTAGGCTTGAAGTTATGGCAGTGCTTTCGGATATCATCTTTCCATCGTACTCGCGGTCTAACATCATCAAAACGTCTTCTGTTAGGTGGGTCCAACATGTCAAAATTTCGGCCCATTTTACTTCGCCTTCTGCTATGGACATTCTTCTTGCA